GATGGGTGGATGGATGGATGGATGGATGGGTGGATGGGTGGATGGATGGGTGGAGTGATGGGTGGATGGATGGATGGATGGATGGGTGGATGGATGGATGGATGGGTGGAGTGATGGGTGGATGGATGGATGGATGGATGGGTGGATGGGTGGATGGATGGGTGAAGTGATGGGTGGATGGATGGATGGATGTGTGGATGGATGGATGAATGAGTGGATGGATGGGTGGATGTGCAAATGGATGGGTGGATGGATGGATGGATGGAAGGATGCATGTGTGGATGGGTAGGTGGGTGGATGGATGGATGGATGGATGGATGGATGGATGGATGGATGGATGTGTGGCTGGTGGGCTAGATGGATGAATGTGTGGCTGGGTGGGTGGATAGGTGGATAGATATGTGGCTGGGTGGTTAGATGAATGGACAGATGGATGGGTGATGGGAGAGAGGAAGGAAAATGGATGGATGATGATGGATGAGTGAGAGGGACAGGTGAGGGGTGGACATGTGGAGTGGTAGGAGCCAGGCAGGCAGAAGATGGCAGACGGAGAGGAAAGATACAAGGCAGAAGGATGCCAGGGCAGGTGGGAGGATGAGGGAAGGGCATTTGCACAGGTGGTGGAGAAAGGCCATCTGCAGTGCTGGCCTGGTCCTCAGCTCTGGATGCCTGCAGGTAGCTTCCTGGTCCCCTACCTCATCATGCTCTTCGTGGAGGGAATGCCACTCTTGTACATGGAGCTGGCCGTGGGGCAGCGCATGCGGCAGGGCAGCATCGGTGCCTGGAGGACCATCAGCCCCTACCTCAGCGGTGTCGGTATGTGAGGCCCTCTCCGGTCGCCTTCCACCTTTCAGTCCCCTGGGAGCACAGGGGTGGGGTGGGAATCCATCAGCAAGCATGGGGCCCCAGAGAAAGCCCTTGACAGGAGGGACTGACAGCCCAGGAGGGGCTGAGAGGGGCTGGGATTCTGACCCACAGGGCAGCACTCTGGGAAACTGATACCATGTGGCTTCTCCTTTCTGGGCCTCTGCTTAGAAATATGTACAAGGGAAGCAGCTGCCCAGCACAGGGGCTCTAACTCCAGCCCAGCCAGCAACCATTCAGAAAACGCACATAGCTGTTCCCTGCTAATTAACAGCTCTCTCTTACTGAGCACCTACTTTGTGCAGGGTGCTGCCTACAAGATACAAGCTCATGAACTTATTTAACCTTCATTGCACCCCTGAGAGGTTGCTGGAGGAGGTGCCATTAACGTTTGCAACTGAGACACACATGGAGAGCAGGGCTGCTGCTTCAAACCACGTCTTTCCCCAGTTACCAGAGCTGGTATCCCCAGCACCTGCTCTGCACAACCTCAGGAAAGCAGGGTGACTCCTGGCAGAAATGAGGAGGGAGTCAGCTTGACAGGACCTGATCTCAGACCCAGAAGAGCCACGTGTCCAGTGGCCTCTTAAGTCACCTGCAGACCCTAAACGCCTCCTCACCGTGAAAGGCTGTTCATTTTTAACACAGCGTGTGTGGTTTTACCGCCTGCCTGGGTCAGCAGTCACAGAGGCAGCGTGAGCTCTGTCACAGGAAAGACGGTCACTGGGCATGCCACTCTGGGGTGCTGGAACCCGTGGAGCACCCAGCATCCCAAGGGTAGCCGGAGGTGGGGATCGCTGCCCCGCAGCTTGCTGATACTGGCAGCTTGAATGTCCCCACCACGGCCCGCGCCAGTCTCCCTGAGAGCCCTCCCAGGTGTGGGATGGAAAGAGTGGGGGACAGAGCTCAGGGCACCCCTGGTGGCCCACTTTCCCTGGCTCACAACCCCACCCTGAGCTCTGCAGTCCTGACCAGACCCAGGCAGCCCATTCCCACCACTCCCTACCCCACCCCCCATGTCCCTGCTCCCTAACGCCAGAGGGCAGGGTCTGACCCCCCAGGGCTCAACCTTCAGTGAGCCAAAGAGGCAGCTGTGGTCACACTGGGCCTGGGGCTGGTGCTTGGCAATGACAAAGAGCTTCTCCCACGAGGCGGAAATCTGACCTCTGCCACTTGCCAGCTGGGCAGTCTTGGGCACACCATGTGCCTCAGTTTCCTTCTCTGTGAAATGGGGGCAATGCCGTGGCGAGGACCTAACACATCTGAGGACTGTAGCCTGGTACCTGGCACAGCCGTCCCAACAACAAAAACCAAGACCTGTGCTTGGCCTCATGTTCCAGAAGATGGTGGGGCGGGGGGGGGGGGGGGGGAAAGGAAAGAAAGAACTCTCCCGAAGGTCACAGTGGTCACACAGACTCCACGGAGGGAGGTTTGCCTGTTGCAGGGAGTCACCGCGGGTGTGTCCTGGGAGCATGCTCTGGACAGGGCCACGGGTGTCTAGTCCTCAGTGCCACCCTCTGCTTCTTGGCAGGCATCGCCAGCGTGGTGGTCTCCTTCTTCGGGACCATCTACTACAACGTCATCAACGCCTGGAGCTTCTGGTACCTCTTCCACTCCTTCCAGGTGAGCAGGGCGAGAAAGGGGGTGGAGGTCAGCTGCCCACCTCGGGCGGTGGGTGGAGGATGCCAGTCTCTGGGGAGCCAGAGGGTGACAGGAGGGCGGGAGGGCTTCTGCCCCAGGACCTTGGCCCCGGACTGGCACCGTGAGCCGGCTTGTGCAGATAGATGGATGAGCTCTTGCCTGTTTCTGGGACTGAGGTCCACAGTTATCCTTTGATTCTCTCTGAAGGATGTGACCCCAAATATATTAAGGACCTTTTTTTTTTCTTGGGGTGTGGGGGAGGGATCTGGGATTGAACTCAGGGGCACTGGACCACCGAGCCCCATCCCCAGTCCTGTTTTGTATTTTATTTAGAGACAGGGTCTCACTGAGTTGCTTAGGGCCTCCCCATTGCTGAGGCTGGCTTTGAACTCTCGATCCTCCTGCCTCGGCCTCCTGAGCTGCTGGGATGACAGGAGTGCACCAGGAAATGTCCAGGAAAAAGCCTGTGGCAAATGGGGACTGTTTTCAGCATCCCAGCGAGTCTGTGGGGACTGTCCCTCCTCTGCTTCTGGCCCCTCCTTTGCCTTTCTACCATGGCCACTTAGCCTTTCAGGTTTGGAGCTCAGGGCTGAGCCTCTCCTTTTTCTGGAAGACCCCAAATTCCTCCCAGAAGGGCCAAGGTCACCCTTTAACACAAAAGAGGCTCTTCTCAAAGACGAGCGTTCTAAACAGTGTCCCGGCCATGCACGGAGCTCACGCTCACTGCACAAGATGCACAGAGGGCTGGAAGTTGTGGGGCAAAAGAGAGAAGCCCAGCCCAGAGCACCCCCCGACCACTGCTCACCAGCTCTCGTCCTCGGCTCCAGCCTGGTCACTCTCAGGGACCCCTCTGCCTGCTGCCCCATCCCCCTCCCAGCAGCCTCTCCCCAGATGGGACAGAGGAGGAGGCAGGACCAGCCTGGCCTCCCCGTTGGCCTCTAAGCCTGACCTTCATGCTTCAGATGTTCTCCCCTGGCCCCAAAGCCAGGCAGGTCTGGCCATCGGCTGCCAACTGTCCCCAGTCTGTGAGGCTTCCTGGGTCCTTGGGAATCCTTGTCCTTGAGTCTCTGGGGCCCCCAGGAATACCTGGGCGAGTTATTCCAAAAGTCCTGACTTGACGTCTCCCCTGGGAAGGTGGCATCTCCATCCTACTGTGGCCTCCCAAGCAGCCCCTCCCCCAAGGCTGCCCCATCACGCACTCCCAGATGGGAAGGACCCTGCCCTGAGTTTAGCCAAAGCACCACATTTCTTTCCCTGGCTTCGGCTAGAGTTCCTTGAAGACTGACTACAACTCTGCCTCTCCCCAGACTTCTAAGGGGACATAGGGCAGCTCTTTTTACTCTAAATGCTGGGGCCGACAGGCCCTCCTCTGTGCAGAGCTGCCACATATGGTTGGGCAGGTTGTACACTGCACAGTGGCACGCTGAAAGAGGTGTGGGCATTATCGCAGGCATTCTAGATGTGTATCCTTTCGCTGTCGTGGCGATGGGATCCAGCTGTGTTGTGCGGGCTGGTCTCAAACACGTGGCCCCGGGATCTCCCACCTCAGCCTCCTGAGTGGCCGGGACTACAGGTAGGCACCAACCTGTCTGGCTTCGATGTCTATGCCCGTGAAGACAAGTCTCCAAGGTGGGAGCCATGTGTCTTGTCTCATAAGGTCAGAAACGATTCGCTCCTCTTCCAAAGGTGAAAATAAAGTATACCCCAAAGGGGTCCCTATTTCTAGTCCTCAGAACTGGGGGCGGGCAGTGATTCCAGATAGTCACCTGAATGTTCATGCACCCCGTCCTTCACAGGTCATTGGGCCTCCCCCAGTCCCTCTCCCCTGGAGCCCTCCCCCACGGTCACATGATAGTGGCAGCAAGGGTGTGGGAGGCGCCAGGCTGGTCCTACGTGGAGACGTTCTCCCTCCTCACTCCTGTGGTCACCATAGCAGGAGTGGCTTCCAGTCCCATGTTACAGGTTACTTGCTGCTCAGGGGCCCTCAGCCTCAGGCTGTTACCAATGGGATCAGAATCCTGCTGGGGACAGGGCAGCGGGGCCGCCCTTGCTCCACTGGCTCCGAAGCTTCTTCGCCCTGGTCGCACACGGACACTGGCCGGAGCTTTCAAACACCTGAGGCCCGGAACCCACCCCACACAGATGCCACCAGAGCCTCGGTGGTGCACCTGGGCGTCTTCCCCCGGGTGATCTAGTCCTCCAGGAAGAGTTGGAAACCCGGAGGCTGGAGTGATCTCAGCAGAGGGGTCAGTGGATAGACCCAGTCAGTCCCGCATGGCCCAGTAAATGGCCCTGGAGACGCTGGCTCTGGTGGGCCAACTGGGATTCCTGTCTAAAGGGCCTCTCTCACCTGGGAAGGACCCAGTGCTGTCACTGGGCACCTGAGTTCCCTCTCGGTGGCCTCATCCTTCCAGAGTCTTGCTGACCATCTTCACGAGACAGCTGGCTTCCGAGATGATGGACAGGCAGCTAAAGGCCCCGAAGGCCTCCACCGGAAGTCACCCTCATTCTCTGCCCCGAACTCTGTTGGTCACAGAAAGCCCCAGGCCTTCCCAGACTCCCAGGGTGGGGCAGGAGATGCCAGCTGTCCTCGGGGCAAGCTGCTCCTAGTGCAGAGAGCGAGGGTGGCTCTGTGGCCAGGGTGTCCCCCGCACAGGGCCTGAGCACTAATGAGGGTGTAAACCTGGGCTCCAGCCCTCCATGCAGAGTAGCCATGACCCGTCAGGCAACACCACTGGGCCTTGGTGGTGGGGACCGTGAACTATCAAGGGAGTCAGCCTAAGGCGAAGGTCAGACTCGCTCTTGTTAGAGGAACGTTTCTGTCTGATCTGAGGAATGTGAGCCTATGGAACCCCAGAGTCACCCCAAACTGATCAACACGGGACGGGTCTTGGCAGAGCAGGGCTGCTGTCTGGACTGCCCACCAAGGGTGCTCAGAGTTAAGTTTTCTCCTCCTTCCCTGCCTGTTAGTCAGGGTTCTCCAGAGGAACAGAACCAACAGGAGGGATGGTTACATAAAGGGGTATGATTATTAGACTGGCTCACACAACCAGAGCTGGACCGTCCACCATGGCCGACTGCAGGCTGGAGAGCTGGAGGGCCAGTCGCTGGGCAGTCCAAGAGGGATCAGCAATGCTACCCTAGTTTGGGACCAAAGGCTTCTGGAAACCCCCTGGAGAATCACTGGCAGAGTCCACCTGGGACCAGTGAAGGAGCTGGAATCTGACGTCCTCAGGAGATCGCAGCCACCAACAAGAACCTGCTCAAGAAGAACCCAGCCTGCCTCCGCTGCTGCTCCCTGTTCTTCCCAATTCTTTTATTCCATCCAAAACATCCTCATCTGTTATTTTTATAATTTCCTTTTAATTAATTGATTAATTTTTAGTTGTATCTGGGCACAATATCTTTATTTTATTTATTTTTTATGTGGTGCTGAGGATCCAACCCAGGGCCTTGATCTTGCCAGGTGAGCGCTCTACCGCTGAGCCACAGCCCCAACCCCAAAGCCCTCATCTTATTGGACGGTGCTGCCTGTGCTTGGGGAGGATCTCCACTTCAGTGGGCTATCCCACATGCCAATCACTCCTAGACACACCCTCACTGACACACCCAGAAGCCTCTTAATCCTTGGCATCTCTTAATCCAATCAAGCTGACAATTCAAGTTGACCTTTACACTGCCATTCGGTATCTCTGTTTTGCATTTGGCCTTGGATCTTGCTCATTGTACAGGCACCATTTAGCCTCCTTTGCTCATAAATGCTGCAGAATCCAGTACAAACCAGCTTAAGCAGAAGAGATCTTACTGACTCCTCCCTACCAAGTCCAGGAGTCTAAGTGCTTCAGGTGTAGCTGACTGGAGCTCAAAGGAAGTCACTCTAAGGGGTTCTCTGGTCCTAGGGGTATGATGGCCTCAGGGTGGTGAACCTCATCCCCCTCTGGCTTCCAGATCCAATGCCAGTCTCCCCCAGCAGATGTGCCCCATTAGGGATGTTAGCTTGGAGCAGCTAGAGGTGGGCTAAGGAGAAGTGAGACATTCTATGTGATTGGTTAGGGAACATATTTTGACTTTCTCTGCTTAATCCTGGGTTGGCAAACAACAGGGAACACATGAGTTATCGCCTAAGTTCTGATCATTATGATCAGTGCTGTAGTTTGGGGTTTGAGTTCTGGTTACTACAGAGTTGGTGGGTCACAGTGTTATTGTTATAGCTGGCCTATCCTTTGTCCACTTTTCCCTCAACCTTTTAGATGCACCATGGAGTTCAGTACTCCTTAACAAACGCCTGCAGAATTGCAAGTCAAGTAGTCTTTGCATTAGTCAGTTTTGCATTACTACAACAAAATACCTGAGGCAGCTAAGTTATAAAGAGAAAGGATTTAGTTTATAGTTTGGAAGATTCAGAGACCAAGATGAGATGGGTTCCATTGGTTTGGATCCTAGTAAGAGTGGCAGATGGCAGTACATCACAGCAGGACCACACATGGGAGAAAATGGTCATATCTTGAACAAGAGTAGAGAGAGAAGAATGTGGTCCCATTTCCCTATCAAGGACACAGTCTCCATGACCTAATGAGCTCTCACTAGGCCCCACCTCTTAAATGCCCACAGCACCTCCCAATACTGGTGCTCTAGAGCCCAAGTCTTTATCTATGGATCTTTGGAGGAACTCAACATCCAAACCATACTGAGCCACTTGAGGTCCCTCTGGTGGCCCTGACAAACCCTGCTTTCCCATCTGCCTCAGCAGCTCCACCTCTTGCCCTGGGGGGGACCAGCATCCTTCTCGGCCATCACTCTACCTGACCTTTATAGCCTCTCTGTCCGATGCTTTTCCATCCTAAAGGACCCGCTGCCGTGGTCTGTCTGCCCGCTGAATGGGAACCACACCGGCTACGAGGAGGAGTGTGAGAAGGCTTCCTCGACACAGTACTTCTGGTACAGGAAGACCCTCAACATCTCCCCGTCCATCCAGGAGACCGGGGGTTTGCAGTGGGAGCCGGCGCTGTGCCTCATCCTGGCCTGGCTGATGGTGTATCTGTGCATCCTTCGGGGCACCGAGTCGACGGGCAAGGTGGGCCAGGGCCCCTGGAGGGTGCAGTGCTCCCTGAGGTGGGTGGGTGCAGGAGCAGCTGCCTGTCCCCAGCCTTGGGCCAGACCAGGAGTTGCTTCTGCGGTGCTGGGTAGGAGCTGGCTGGGGCCGAGGACACCCACAGTGTGGCCGGAACAGACCATCAACTAGGTCCCAGTAAAGGTGGTCAGGGGTGGTGGGAGGTACGGCGTCAAATCTCAAAATGAGGGCTCATTCACTGCTTTGTGAAAAATGAGGGTGAGTGCGGTGGCACACCCCTGTAATCCCAGTGGCTCCGGAGGCTGAGGCAGGAGGATCATCATCAGCTAGCAGTCTGAAAGTTTGCTGGGGTGCCGCAGTCTGGCTGGGCACAATTCAGGAGTCACTTGTCAAAAGAAATGAACTTTTATTTTTAGAACCACACAGGCCAAACAAAACAGCTCCTCAGGAAAACCCTCAGAGCCCAACTGCCACCACTGGCTTCCACAAGCCTCCCCCCACCCACACAAGCCTCTCCACCTCCCACAATCCTCCTGCTCTTGAGGCCGATTGGCTGGGTCATGTGGGCAGAGCCAAAAAAAGTCCCCGAATGAGCAGCTCCGTAGTCTGAAAGGGCAGGGAAACAGCCCAATGAGCATCACCACAGAGGAGCCAATCAGCTAGAAGTTGCTGGGGCCGCTGTGAGCCAATCATCAGCTGGCAGTCTGAAAGTTTGCTGGGGCCCCTTTGGCTGTGGCTCTCAACATCTCCCCCTCTCTGTTTAAACAACAAGCATGTAGCTTAGGGATCGTGCCTGCCTTAGGTTGTCCAATACTACATATGGTCCTTACCCGTCATCGGATAAGCTGACCTCAGGGCGTCAGCCTCCTGTCTTAGGTTGGTACCATTGCAATTGGATCTTACCCGTCACTGACTACCGGTCCAGTATACAGCCACACCTGTGGATAGGCACAGGGGGGGGGTGAGGTTCTTTGCCTCACCTCTGTTGGCCCCCAAATTTTAGCTGAACGATCATGACAAGCAGAAGGGAGGAAGATATACCAAGCCAATTGATGGCTGAAGGCTCCTTTTGGAAAAATTGTACCACTGATGACATCATCAGCAAAAATACTCCAACACTACCACAAGTTGCTGCACCAACAGATAGTTCACAATGCATATAAGTGATACATAGTCCAGGCAATTTCTGCAAGCAGTTCAGTGATGGCTGTTGCAGAAGCTGTAGATTGGTTTTATCTTTGTCTTCACCAGCACTGGGATGAAGATAGGAATTCTGGCAATAATGGCTAAAGAAAAAATTGTGTAACATTCCAGAAGGCACTAAAAGAAAACAATTTTCTTAACAATTTACATTATCTTGAAGAGAATTATTGAATATAATGAAAAGGAAAGGTGAAAGTAAACAAACAGATCTGTTAACCTCCTTTTTTTGTTCACATATTAAAACAATCCTCAACAGCTGTTTACCCAATTTAAATTAAACCATTTAAATCACGAGAATACAAAAAAAAAAAAACATAACAGTCAGGGCATACGTTGATACAATACAAAAATGTAGCCCATGGCTTTTTAAGGAGGAGTTGTTAAATATATCACAATGGAGCCATCATGGTGAAGATTTAAAAAGAATAGAAAAGAACAACCCAGGGACTCTGCCAGTTGGCACATTGCTATTATGGACATTGGTATCTTGTTTGCTTAGTACAAAGCCATCAGGGGGAAAGTTAACAGGAGACTGCTACTAACACCTTTCTATCACCAGAGGACGTAAGTGTCCAACTAACAAGGCCACCTCCATATGCTGGGAGGCTCCCAACCCCCGCAGTTGATAGTTGGGATCCTGAGACAGGATCTCAAATATTAACATGCCCTGTATTTGAAGCAGGAGGGCAGCGAGTTCACCATGCTTTAAATTTCAAAACAGTAAAGCAGCTAAAAGAGGCTGTAACAACCTATGGTCCTCAAGCACCCTTCACTGTAAGCTTGGTCGAATCCATTAACAACTTGAACATGACGCCAGCAGATTGGGTTAATATGTGTAAAGCTGTGCTAAATGGAGGTCAATACCTGTTATGGAAGGTTGCCAATGAAGAATTTTGCAAGGAGACGGCTAGGCGAAATGCAGCAGCTGGTTATCCTCAGAGAAATCTAGATATTTTGTTAGGAAAGGAACCTTATGAGGATCAGCAGCAACAAATTGCATATGATCCTGGCGTATATGCACAAATTGCTGTAGATGCAGTTAAGGCATGGAAGACTTTACAAGGACATGGAGGTTTACAAGATCAATTATCTAAGATAATACAAGGAGCTAATGAATCTTACACTGAATTTGTAGATAGGCTTATTCAAACAGCTACCAGAGTTTT